TTTAAATATATATAATTCAGTGACTCATTTGCTTTGCGTGTTATTTTCTGTTCGAGAAAAATGATGTTTGCAGTTTACTGAAACGTAAGCCTAGGCTGTTTGTGTGCAATTATAGTTTTAATTAAACATGGTCGATTATTCATTGTTAGTTGCAAACTAACCGATTTATGTAGGGTAACGGTGATTGCTGTTTGTGGAATTCAATTATAATGAGCCACGAAAAAATTTTTCATCATTTTATCCTTATTATTTTTTTCTTTCGTTCTTTGTAAATTTTGTATCCTTTTTAGATTATGAACGATCCAATTTGTTGTTAATCACTAGATTGGTATTGCGTATATTTCTGGATGAAAGTATGCATTCGCGACATCGTATTATCAATGCCGAAATACGTTCACTTACTGACCTTTTCGTCATACTTGAGAAAGTTTTATGGCATGGTTTTAAAAGTTCAGGTCTCAGTATTTTTATGCTTTACCAAAAATTCTTTCCGGATTTATTGCTGAACTAATTTGTAACATCAAATGCAAATGAGGGGTGTATTGTTCAGTATAAATGAAAATAAGTGTTGATGACCCTAGAAATTCATGTGGGTATTGGCGAGGCCTGACCAATAATAGTAAGAGATTCCCTTTTATGGGTGACTGTTGCACAAATAATATGTTGTTTTCGAAATAATAAATGTTATTAGAATTGGTTTTTCCACTTTATTAAATCTATATTTAACGTTTTTTATAGTCCAGAAGACAATGATAGCACTGCGTGCTCCAGATTCTGAATTATGGAGTTGTCTTGGTAAAGTTGCAAGCGTAAATGCAGATATGAATGAAAGTTACCAGTGCATTGACCGCATCGATAAGATCACGTAGGTTGTTATTTTTTGGAAATAGAATCAGTTTTGCGAAAAATTGTGGTAAACGAAGTAAATTGTGGCAAAAATTCATTCATACTTGGTACACAGTGTTGGAAATCGGTTTGCAGAACTCCTCTGCTTCGCATTCGAGCCTTTATGAGATTAGCCGTGATGCAGAAGAAACTTGGCAACTACTTCGAGAATTTGATTACTTCAAGCTACATCAGGTGTGGTAATTATTGGTCCTTTTATATTTTCAGTCGTCTTTTTTTAAACGTTGGAAAGGATTATCTGCCATATTGCATTGACTTTCATGACGATATATTGGAGAAAATCTAAATGAGTTTATTTCATTGCTTTCCAAACAGATAGCAAAAATTCGTGAAGATACTGGAGTCCCAATTCGTGCTTTACATTTAGGTCAGTGAATGTGCATATTCATTTCATATATATAACGTATTATTGCATGGCTCATAAGATGCATATATTAACAGAATATGACATTTCATAAGATGTTTTCCGGGACTTCTACGAGCCATGGGCATTAATTCGGCATGAAGAATGCATTGGTTTATCCGGAGCATTAATGGCACTTTCGGTTCTTGATTGCAATCTGGTGCTAGATCAGACAGTGCTAGAAAATCAACCCGTGTAAGTTTCGAATTTCTGTTGTTGCATAGTTTTGTTTTCAGTTGTTTGGTCATTTGGATGTTCCATTTTTCCTTTTCAATGATGATTTTCATACCCATTAAAGAACTGTTGAACTAGCGGCTTATGTACGTTTACCAAACATATCGAATGACCCTAGTAGTGAAACGGAATCTGATATGGTAGATGCAAAGTCACTGGAACTTGCTCTTGATCAAAAAAATTATTTGGAACAACGGAATCATTATTTGGAGTAAGCTTTTTGTAAATTTGTTCTATTAGCAATAAAATTTGTCCATCAAACGTTCCCAAATACATTGACTTTACTGTAATTATTGCATATTAGAATTATATTGCAATGAAACACATGGCGCTTTAAGCGTGTTAAAATCTTTGAAAAAAAAGGGATTTTTATCCCTACCTCATGTTTTATCTCGTAATTTCTGTTATAGATCTAAAGTGGTTGAATTGAAGATGAAAATTGAAGAAGTCAATCTCTCTGCTCTTAATAGCAACAGTGTAAGATATTTTATAATTTCCGGAAGTGTAATGCCGTCGATTTATTCCCATAATAAGTATAAATTTCTGTGTTTATCACAATTTATGATGAATGGATAAAAACTTTGGATTACTTATAATAGAACACTAATACATATGAAATATTGCAATAATTTTTCCAGTTAGTTGATGTTGCAACGGAAGATACGTCGAAGATGACTAATGAGCACATTGCTGCAGTGGAAGCACTAGAAAAGGAGAAGTTTGTCTTTGTTACCTACCTGTTTTAGGTATTTTAGTTTAAAGTGAAAAACAATTTTTTTCTAATGTCAATTGTATTTCAGAGCGGAGTTAGCTCAATTAGCATCCGAAAAGGAAGATTCCATACGAATTTTACGGCAACAACTAGCAGATACAAAAAAGTAAATGTTGATTTGTATGAGAAAATCCGTATTGTGGAAGGGAAATATCGACAGCTGGAAAAAGATATGATTAATGCCAATAGCCGATATATCCATGTAAGTTTTTCTTTTCTAATAAAGAAATTGTTGTGGATTCATTGACATACCAAAAGATTTCGTTTGTGGTTTGTAATGAAAAGTGGAGTATTGAAAGCAGTTTTGAATAAAACTGACTTGACTTGTTGAGGAGAGAGAACAGCAACAGCAGGTGATCGATACATTGAACAAAAGAAATTCTATGCATGAAATGGATTTAGAACATGAAGCTGGGACTTCGGAGATGTTGAAAAAGGAGCTAGCAGATAAAACTGAAGAATATATGCAAACATTGAATGTGTTGGAAAAGAAACAGGTGAAAGGGTTTAAACTTGAAAGTCTAGAAATTTAATTTCAAATTCAAAAGAACCAGCATAGGTATTCTGCATGATAGAAATGATAGCGCAGGACGTAGATGTATGTGTTTAGCAAGAACTGGCTGTTGCGAATGATCGACTTGGAAAATTGCAGCGTCAAACTTCTGAATTGAATGAAAAGCTGAAACAGTTACCTGTGATAAAACAGGTTCATTTTATTCTTTGCTTAAAATAACGGGTACTGTATAAATATTGATTTAGAAGTTATGTTGAACGCATGGTTGGTTTACCGGTTTGTCATTTTTGGCCCCACATTCGATGATAAAGTTCAACACATACAAAGTTGTGCTCCAAAATTGGCAAAAAAACTCTCTTGCGCCCATGAAATCGGAAGAATCGATAATTTATTCTGTATATACTTTTATTTACCTACCGTTTGCTACATTCACTGATCCTTGGACTCGTTGACAATATTACCTATCTGTTTGTAAATAAATAAATACTGTTTTCTAATTTGGTCATTTTTCAGGAACTCGAAGAGTTGACCGCTAGTTACAAATATAAAAGTGAGAAACTGGAGGATTGTGAAAAAGCTTTAGAAGAGCTTGGTGGTCATCTGTCGGAGTATGTCACTGCTCCATGTTACGTAGAGTTCATCATGGTGTTATGTATAACATTTTTAACGGCTTGTACGGAAAATTGTTTCAGGTCAAAGTTGAAAGTAGTTGAATTGAAAGAAGAACTGTTGCCGCTTTCGGAAGCTGAGTGGGAAAAGGATGGCAATGTCTTAAATTGTAAGGGGTGCAATTTGCAATTCAGTATGAGTAAACGGAAACACCATTGCAGGTCTGCTCAGAAAATGTATTTTGTGTCGTGTTTTTTAGGAAGTGGACGAGCGAGTTGAGTTTGGGTATTTATGAGAGTTCGTTCATAACTGTTATGATTGAGAGTTTGAAGAATGTTTAATAATAAGTTTGGTTTTGTTTTGAGAAGGTAAGAATAACTTTTACTTTAGAAATTGTGGCTCTATATTTTGCAATTCATGCACCGATGCGCGCGTCAAGCTGCCTTCTAGCGCGAAACCAGTGCGAGTTTGTTTGCACTGTTACAACTTATTGCGCTCACGACATAATTCTTCATTAGAAGAAAATTCATCGCTTAATTCTTTTTAATTTTGGTTGGCGTAATTGTCAAAAAGCTCATGTAAATGCATAAATATATTAATTTACGTGTGAGAGATTTGTACTATAATTTTTTGCCACTTTTTTCATCTCTGCCTTCCCACTTCATTCACTTTACGTTTTATCCTGATAGAAATGAAGTGATATCCTGCGAATTGTCCTTATATGTTTTAATATTTTCGGAATAAATGGATTTTGAGAGTATATTTTGGCGTCCATATATATATAATAAAAAAGCATTTTCGGACAAAGATGATATTGTAAAACTTCAAACTTTGACGATTTTTGCTGGAATGATGTGGAGGTTAGGCTGATTTCAAATGAAGTGCTGGGAAAAAATTGGTTTGTTTGAAGGGAGTAGTATTCAGCTTAAACACTTGTTCAATGCTTTTGTCGCCTACAAGAATCAAACTTGATTTTTTCGAAACATTCTTGACGTTGTTATAGACTTCCCCTTTTGACTGAAATGCAGCTAATTTTGTGGATTACTAGCATAAGACGGTGTTCAGATCCTTTCTTACACGGATTTTTACCGGGATGCTTAAAATCTGAAGTTTTGTTTGCGGTGCTTACCATTAACATGCGTTTGGTCTAACTTGTTTAAGGCAAACTGTATAGCAAGGGGAACAAATTGCATCGGTCGGGTGAAGGAACTGGTTGTTTCCTGAACGACATATACCTTTTAATTTTCGTTTTCCCCTTATTACTATTTAGAGGTACTATTCCAACGTTGTTGTCACCACTATCATCAGCGCAATAATGTTCTTTTCTCGTCACTTGTGCTTCCCACCCCAAATCATTTAACCTGTCCCCGTTCCCTTCTCCCCCTGTCCTTTTCACCTGACATCTCCTGATTTGATGACATCGCATGCCTCCTTTTCATTATACTATCTCTTCTCACCCATCCAACCAATATTTGTATCCATTCCAGTCTTCATTAAATTACTAACGTCCTACCTGCCACATTTGCTCAAGTTTGCCCAATTTTACTCCCTTGCTTTTTTTTTAATTTCTTTTCTTTTTTTACTAAATTAGACTTACAGTATTTAACAAATCATTCACTATTTCCATTGAAGACCAATTGAATTTGCAATTCTTAGCAAAACTGAAACATTGATTCACGTTGTGATAATTATAACCCTTCATGGATCAGCTCCGGAATTACATCTAAAATAAGTCACTTAGTTCTGCAAGGGAAAATGATTTCGACAATTTCGGTATGCTTTAATTAACTTGATTAACTTATAACTTGTTACGATTATTAGCTCTATTTTCCAGCGAGATGAAATAAAGGAAAATCGTTAGCAGTGAAGAATGAAGGGCTCATCAGTTATGTTTAATGAAGCCGGAAGAAGTATCGAATCGAGCTGTTTAATTTTTAAAAAGAAAGCGGTTCTCATTTTAAAATTGCCTTAATCTATGTTAACTAATTAAAACTAGAAATAAGACCATTCTTGGACCAAAAATAATAAAGGATTTGTTAACAATAAAAGTTGCTCTGATACTTCTCGTTGTTTCCAAATTATATGATGGTATTCAGTGGACACGGTGTTACTTATTATGTTCACAACCGAATGACATCAGTGTCGTTGTGCTGTATGTTTACAAAAATTATAAACGACGTTTAAAAAATTGTGAAACCTCAGCGATCTCACTTGGTACCTTTGTGGGCCTCGAAACTGGTTAGTTTACCGTTCTTTTTCCTTTTTT